CCCGCCCCTCCCTGCCTGCCGGGCCGCGCGCGCCCCGGGGTCCCAGCCGGGCCAGGCGAGGGGCGAGGCGCGCTGCAGGGAGGCCGAGGGCATCCGGGTGCGGCCGGGCAGAGCCCCGGGACCCTCCCTCCCCACACCGCTCCCCAGACTTCAGGGGCTCCCAGCGGCCCGCCCAGTCGGAATAAACCCCAAACTTGACCCGAGGGAAGTGGGCCTCTAGGGGATGCCCGGTCAAGGCTGCGTGGTCTGAGTGGACGGCTGGGGGTGGGTGCCTCTGTGGGCGGAGGGGCGGGCGGAATCAACTCCCGGCCTCCCTCCCTTTCCCTCTCTGGACTCCTAAGGGTTGGGAAAAGCCGAGCACAAGGACAAGTGGAGCTGCTTGAGATGGAACCGGACCGACCTGCGTCACCAGGCAGAACGCGAAACCCGCCAGGGGAGGAAAAGGCCCATGTCCCTGGGCCGGCTCTGCGGGTCATGCTCCTCAGATGTCGCGGAGATGCACAGCCCAAGAAAACCTGACTGCCTCCGCCCCCACAATCTCTAATCTAGCCGCGAACTGGCATTTCATGGACGGGACAAGTGGAGTCAGGAGATGGGATGGTCTCAGCAGAGCCCCGGGGCGTGGGTGGAGAACGCAGACTCCCAGGTGAGTGCGCAGAAAGTGAGGGTTCCCATCCACCTGGCTCACCACTGTACCCCGCCGTGCCTGAAACCGTACCTGCCGCATACTGGTGCTCAGTATTTGTTGAATGAATAAATGACCGAACATTTATGAAGAGCTAACTTAGTGCTGGTCCCTCGATATAGAGGTGAGTAAGACAATGTCCCTGGGGCTTCACAGTTCTTGGCTGCGTATGTGTCCATGTGTGTGAACATGTACGGGTGTATGTGAACACGTGTGGTGTGTCTGCACGTGTGTCTGCTGTGTCCATGCATGTGCATGTAACTGTTCATGTGTGTCTCTGTGCATGTGTCTATTCATATATCTGCACGTGTGTCCTTGTATGCATATGTCTGTTTCCATGTGTGCATGTGGGTGTATGTATCTGTTCATGTGTGTATGTGCTTGTTTCTGTGTGTCCATATATATGAGTATGCATGTGTATGTTCACATGTGGTGTGTCTGTATGTGTTTCTGTGCATGTGTGTGAATGTGCGTGCATGTGTCCGTTTGTTTGCACATATGTGCATGTCTTTGTGTGTCTGTGTACATGTGTGTGAATGTGCATTCATGTGTCTCTGTGTGTCTGTGCATCCATGTGTGTGCATGTGTGTATGTATCTGCTCATGTGTATATATGTCTGTGTCCATGTGTGAGCATGCATGTGTGTGTGCACGTGTGTGCTGTTTTTCTGTGTGCACGTGTGTGTGTATTTGTGCATGCATGTGTTTGTGTGTGCTTGTGTGTGTGTAGGGGGAACGGTTCTGGCTCCTAGTCCAGTGCTCTCTACTCCCAACAAGCATTTCCTGACATCAGGCACTCCAGCCTACCTAGCCTGGAAGCTTCTGCCACTTGGTAGATGCTGGCAAGAGCTAGAAGACCATTTCTCCTTTCCTTGATGAGCTGTTCTCTTCCTTCTCAGGACATTTGTCTCAAGCAATGCAGAAGAGCAACACAGAAAGGACACAGCCGTTGGGACTGAGGCCAGCAGTCTACAGGGTGTTTACCATATAAATCACTTGTTCTGAGATGAAGCCTGAGAATACTGTTTTTAATCATCACTCCAGGAGATTCTTACAATGCAGCAAGTTTGATAAACACTGGCCTGTTTTTGATAAATAGCCATTCCCATGTTTATCCTTAGGAAATACTGTATTTTTCTGTTATAAAATGCCAACTTGTAAGATGTTCCCCCATTTTACAAGGATAGCTTTTGAAATAATAATACAGATAACTAACACATACACAGTGCTAAGACTTCGCCAGGCACTGTTCTAGGATTTTGTGGCTATTAACCGACTAATACTAACAGCAACTGCATTCATAAACAAACTGGTGTTGTCTGATTCTACATGTGAGGAAACTGAGGCACCTCAGTGCCCTGCTCAAGGTTGCCATGATGGCAGAGCTTGGATCTGGGATTCAAGCTCAGACAATTCGGCTCCAGAATCAAATTTATTAGCCACTGTTGCTCAAGAAAAAAAAGCAAGCACTTTTCATTATATGTTTATTGAAAGTGATGTTAAAGTGGTTTTGCAGGAGAATCACTATTTTGTTCATGTAAATACATTGTGGCACATTCTGAAATCTAGTAGGAAATGACACATCTAAATTTGCATTGATATTAGGCTAAATTTCATTGGAAATACAAGCACATGGGACATGGGGATGTGTTGGGAAACTTGCAGGTGGGGAATGCCTCTGACTTTCTAGCAAACTAGTACTCATTTGATTTTTGAAATATACTGACCACTTGTCTGTGGGTTGTGCGAGGTGCTGCAGTAAGGTGGGACATGAGGGAGTCCTAGGGCGAAGAGGCAACCATGTGGGGTGCCAGTGTTTGGAATGCATGTGCACCCATGATACCCTCCACCCTCAACTCCATCTCTGATAAGCCCCAGCCTCCCAGGGGCCCCCTGAGACTGCCAGCCCCTTCAGGCCCATGAACAGGCCTGCAATCAAGCATGCAGCATCGACAGACCCTGGGGAGGCACGCAGTCACTCACTGCAAAACCCTGAGAAGGGCAGGTGCTCAGGCTGGTGCCAGCCATGGAGAGCCAGAGCAGCGGAAATTTCAAATGGGCACAGTTAAAGGAAATGCTGGGTTCTTTAACATCAGTGAGTTCGAACTCTGCTGGGAGTTTAATCTTGATTGTTGTGCAGAGGTCTGAGCAGAATCCACTCTGCTTTGGGCTTTGCTCTTTCCTTGAACCATAAACTGAAACCTAGGGGTCACTTGAGTGGTTCTTTTCTATATTATGAGATGAAGGGCATTTCTAATTCACGATTCAGCTGGGCATGTCGCCTGCTGTGTTTGAACAACCAAGTGCATCCATCAGACAGGCTGGGTTATGCTGTCTTAACCAACGACTCCCTAATAGGGGTCACTTGAGTGGTTCTTTTCTATATTATGAGATGAAGGGCATTTCTAATTCACGATTCAGCTGGGCATGTCGCCTGCTGTGTTCGAACAACCAAGTGCATCCATCAGACAGGCTGGGTTATGCTGTCTTAACCAACGACTCCCTAATCTCAAGGCTTAAGCAGTTCAGGGTTATTCTTGCACACGCTGCATGTCTGCTGCGGGTCTGACTGGCATCACTTGGAGAGGCTCCAGTGGACGTTGTGGATGGCTGGGCAAAGGGAGAGGAGAGGTTGTGAGGTCCATGCTGATGCTGACCATTAGATGCCCAGTCAAGAAATGATTCTTGCTATTTCCCCTCATATGTTACTGGATAGAAGATGTCACAGGAACGACACCAGCACAAACAGAAAATTCTACCATGTGCTCGGAAGAGGGGAGAGCCGGAGATATCCTGGTGAATAGCACCCTCGATCAGCTGGCAACACTCCAGCAAGCCAGGATGTTATTCCAAACTTACCCACACTCCCAAATGCCAGGATAGCCATGCACGAGGCGTTGTTAAGTTAGAATTTAACACAACCATTTTCAAGAAGATAAGTCTAAAGTGAAAACTAAGCCAAGGCGAATTTTGGTTTAGACCCAATCCACTGATGAGGTTGAATCTCAGGCATCTGCTTCACTTCCCTGAGCCAAGATCCTCTGGGGAGTTAAACCTTGAGGGTAGGAGTGATGGTCGGGCTCTTCCTCCAGGAGATGCTCAGAAGCACAGAGGTGTGCAGACCAGGTTCTCACTGAGACGTTGACCTCCAGATGCTGATACAGCCCCAGTCCATGTCCCAGAGACAAAGTGGGGGCTCATGATATCCCAGAATCCCAACCCTAATCCTGTCTTCCCCTGACTCAGAGTCAGGCAGCCGGGTCTACTGCAAGTGGCTTTAAAGAGCCAACAGAGATGTTTGTGGCAGTTTATTCATTAGCCACAAGTTCCACTCTTGGATGCCCCCGTGACAGCTGGTGGGCTCACAGCCCATTAACTCCGCAGATGAGCACATCCATCCTCAGGCAGGTGATGTGGGTGCACAGCGTGCTGAAGTGCCGGGAGGGGCAGGGAGATTCAAACCTGCTGGCCAAGCCACCACCTGCCTTCTCCAGGCAGAAGAGGCAAGTCCCAGCGGCCAGTAGAAGACAGAGGTGGCGCCAGGATGAGAGAGAGAATGTGCGTGTATGTGAGAGACAGAGAGAAAGAGAAGAGGAGAGAGACAGAGAAGGAGAGAGACAGAGGCAGAAAGAGACTGGGGGAAGAGGGAGAAAGAGAGAAAAGGACAAAAAGATGAGGAGAGAAAAGAGAGGATTTGGGGGGAGCAGAAGGGAGTATTAATCAAAATGGAAGACTTTGGGTGTCATTTTCTGCTGTGTTGCTCCCTAAAATGTTCTAACAGGTTTATAGAATTTGAGTTTCCTCAGTGCCAAAATTGCATTCACCCCTTAGGTCCCAAGGTTTACCCAGCTTCATAATTACTGTGGCACAATATCAGTTTTCTGGCAGTAATTTTCAACAGGTTCAAATGCCTATTCCTTGCTGGTCTCTTCTATAGGACAAAAACCTCATCTAGGAGGGGTTCCATTTCTGACTTAATTTATTTATCAAATACTTAAAGAGCATCTACCATGTGCCAGATGCTGCTCTGAATACTTTTCAAAAATGCACTCACTAAACCCTCATAGCTTTCAAGGGGGAGCATCATTATTATGCCCATTTTACAGATGAGGAAATAGAGGCACAGGTTTCATAGCTTGCCTAAAGCCACACAGATACAGGAAATGAGCTGGGATTCAACGCAGGTGGTCTGGCTCCAGCGCCCAGCTTTTAAGCTCCACTCTAAGCTGCCTCTGCTGCCGGCAGACTGTCCTATAATATATTTTTTCTTTTACCACATTGAAAATTGAATTTTCCTGTTTCCTGCTGGCCCACAAAGCTAACAACTTGTCCTTTTACCACACACACTCAGGCTGGCAAATCATTATCCACCAGGGTATTCAAACCATGGCCAAACAGTGGTTAAAACGATGACGCTCAGCCACTGAGCACATGAATGATGAGGCAGGACTCACAGGAAGACTCACCTCTGCTCCGTGACGACTGGGGCCCCAGCGGGCAGTGGGCTGGGGAAGCTGGGGTCCTCTGAAGGTTTGCTCTGTCCATGTCTGAGGTTGCTGCTGGGGCTGTGGGCTTGGCTGGATGGTCAGAACTCTGGCTCTGGCTTCTCACTGGGACCTGAGCTTCCTCACACCATGGCCACTGGGTTCCAAGAACAGGTGCCGGGAGGAAGCCGTGGCTCCTTTTGTGACCTCGTCTTGGAGGTCACATAGTGTGGCTTCCACCACCCAGATTCAAGGGGAGGGAACACAGACTCCACCTGTTCATGGGAGGAATGTAAAGAATGTGGGGACACATTTTAGAATCTCTCCACCTGGGGACCTCTTCCCTCTGAAGTCTGATGAAATGGTCTCCTGCTGTCTCAGCTGTGTCCCTCCCAGCCATCAGAAGGATATGGATGTTTTCATTTGAGGCTGCTGCTTTGAGGGCTGGTGCCTGGTGGGGCCAAGGGACTCACTTTCATGGGCATCTTGATTGTATCTATATTGTATCAACTATACCCCTGAGCAGGTGAGTCTACTATCATAAACTCTGGACCAGAGTCCCATGGGGCAGACACTGTCAGTTGCTTGCCCAACATCCTGTCCTTCCCTGACACAAGAGCCTTAACCTGTTCACATTGGTACAAATGACTCTTGGCCTCAAGCATCTATTCCAGAGCAAGAAGTAAATATTGATTAATCTAAACCAACCCACAATGGGCCAATGGATGGTCATATTATCTAGTTGTGGCCAACGGGTATAGCCAGAAGTCTGCAGAGTAGAGATTGCAGGAAAGATTTTCCTGCCTGATTAAAAGGGACTGATTGCATTGGTTTGACCAATTTCTCCTATGCCCTCTCCTTTTGTCCTCCCTGGAACTCAGATGTGATGCCCAGAGGAGCAGCAGCTACTTGGTGACCATGAGGCTACAAGCATTTGGATGGAAATCAAGATGCTAAGGGTGTCAGGACAGAAAGACAGAGGAGGGAAGGTCCCTGAGAGCTGCTGCCTCTGGGATCCTGTGACATGAGACAAGTGAACAGCTCCATGCTACACCTAACATGCTGCTCTGTGGTGCAGGCCGGGTGGAACCAGTTGGTCATCCTCCACAAGCATGGCTTCCATGGTCTTCTGATTCGTTTAACTGCCCCGAGCTTTTATCTTCCCGGCCAGAGAACAAGAGTAATGCATCTTCCTGCTCATGCATTCTGAGCAAGGGGCTTTTAGTGACTGTCACTAGCAAAGCTGTTTGCCAACCTGACACTTAATCAAGCTCTTATAACAGATCTGCAAGTGAATGCTGGCTGGACTCTCTCTGTACGGCTCTACTCAGCCAGCGGCTGCCACTTCCTACAGGGCAAAGGCGGGAGGCTGCCAGCAGCTCTGTTCCCTGATGGAGAGAGGCCAGCAGGGGTTTTCCCATGATCTAGGGCCAGCCTTGCTCCCAGAGGCAATGCTGTGTTGCAATGCCCTGCACAGTTCAGGAGGGCCATGTGAACCCCATAAAGGACCATTGTTTTAAGCTCTAA